AGTTTGCTCACCTGTAAAATATGTACAACAATGTTATCAGCCATGAACGGATGTGAAAATTAAAAGGGGTATATAAGCCCAGCACTTAAATCAACCTCAATACATATTAGTTTTTATTATTATTATGATACATGATTGAGGGTGGAAAAGAAACAAGAGAAAAGTTAGCTAACTATAATGAAGGGCACACAGGCTTTTGTTCAGGAAGAGTTGGCTCTGGTGTCTCATGCTTGAGGTTAACTCGCAGCTGTATCACTATCCAGCTTTGTGACAAGAGAAAAGTTACATAAACTTCTGGAACCCTAGTAAACCCTAAAATAGCTATAGTAATTGTCCATATCTCATAAGATTACTGTAAGGATTAAATGAGACACACCTATAATGTGTCTTATTAAGAAATTATGTCAATAGAAGCTTTTCTATAGTATGTATGAATAACTTTTCCAAGAATCTAGTTTGTGAAGGACTTAACAAAAGAATTAGGAAGAAGCAAAAAAGAAAATCTTTTAAATGGGAGGAATATGAACATATATAATTAAGAATCAAAAGTCAGAGGAAAAGGAGTTTAATACTGGTGATATAACAAGGATAATTTCTGGGAAAAGTTTTCAGGAGACTAGAGAATGGAAATGAGGACAGCTGAAATCATAGACTCTATTTTGTTTCTTTGTTTTGTTTTGTTTTTTGAGACAGGGTCTTACTATGTAGTTGAGACTGACCTGGAACTCACTATATAAGCCCAGGCTAGTCTCAAACTCACAGTGATCCTCCTGCCTCAGCCTCCCGAGTGCTGGGATTACAGGCGTGCGCCACCATGCCCAGCTAATCATAGAATCTAAGAGGAAAGAAATTTCTTTCTCTAAAACCAAGAGGAAGATACAGAAGATTTAGCAGGTGGTAGGAGGAATATCAAGCATAGTAGTCATAATCTAACCTAGAAAACACAAGTAAAGGGGTATGAGTTGGGGTAGAAGACTTGAAGAGACAGGTGAAAGAAAATTTACTGATAAGATAAATATCTGAAATACGGTAACTTAGAAAAATGAAATGAAGTTTTGAAAGAGCCAAGAGCATGGAAAATATCTTAAGGACCCAGAAAACAGAAATATTAGAATAAATTATCTAAATATGTGTAATAAAGAGCAAGAATAACAATTAAGACAGTATCATTTACGATATAGCCATTATGTATGAGGTATGAGGAGAACAAGAGGATTGATGGAGAAAGGTTGGTATACAGAACTTAAGATTTCAAAAAAATCACTACGTCTCACTACGTAGCCCATGCTGGCTTTGAACTCACACCTCCTGCCTCAGCCTCCCGAGTGCTGGGAATAGAGCTGTGCACCACCACACCCAGCTTCAACAATTTACCACATATTTTATAAAGAACCAGAAGAGAGGAGCTTATAGCTCTCCAAAACAAAGAAATGACAAATCTTTAAGGGAAATGCTAATCATTTTGATTTGATCATTACATTCTGAATACATATGGCAAATTATTACATTGGATCCCATAAATATGTACAATTACAAATAACAGGAAACAGATTTAAGAGGTGTGGCAGAATTCAATGCTAAAATGACATAGGAAGAAAAGTATAACAGAGTTGAGGTGTTCAAAGAAATTTGAAATAATGGTATATGAAATGGGTTTTGTGTGTTTTAAATATCTTATATGGCATATGTGAGAGTGAAAAACCAAAGTCATCCTTAATGAATACTGGAGAAGATTCAGTGGTCAAGAATGAAAGAGACTGATTATATATACATAGTCTCAGAGGACGCATATAGCTTCAGAGGAAGATGTGATCTGTAATTTAATAGTACAATTTGGAAGCAGCAAAAGAAAAAAAAAGGTTAAATACTATGGTTTCACTACAAGTTAAAAAACCAGCATCTCAGATTATTTCAGTCTCTCATGGTATCTTAAACTTTTTTTTTATAACAAGAAGGCTGAGAAAATTCAGAGAAACTGAGAAATTGTACAGCTATTTTGTTTTTAATGCACATTAATAGAGCTGGGTATGGTGGTACACACCTTGGGAGGCTGAGGCAGGAGGATTTCAAGTATGAATCCACTGAAAGCAACTTGATGACTTAGTGAGACATTGTCTCAAAATTAAAAACAATTCAAAAAGGAACTAGGGAATGTAGCTCAATGTGAAGCCCCTGGGTTAAATCCCCGATATTAAATTTTTTTTAAATAAAAAGAACGTATTAGATTGAATTAAAAAAATAAAAAAGAGCAACTCAACAGACTAGAAAGCCATAACAGTAGACTCATTAAGATTCCTGTATTATGACCTAGGTATCTATTTAACCCCAGGCAATAATTTCCTTAATTTATAATATGAGGGGGCTTAATTACATTAACAATTTTCAATTTTTAAAAAAAGCGGCAAAATTCAAATGACATCTTTCATAGGATTTCAAAACAAAGGTTCCATGTTTCCTGAGACAATTTTACAGAACACCAAAGCTCCCTAGAATATAATTTTTACTTTCTTAAAAGATTTCTAGATCATTTCTAGAATTATCTTACAATACTAACAAAATGTACGAATTCATTTACTTACGTATTTTGCATTGCTGGAGATCAAAACCAGCACTTCACATGTGTTGGGCAAGTGCTCTACACCACTGATATGTAACCCCAAACCTACTCCTTAACAACAACAACAACAACCACCACCACCACCACCAAAAAACCAAAAAAACAAAACAAAAAAAACTTGTTTTAAACCTCTCTTTTAAGTACAGGGACTTAAGACTATTTTGCCCAGTCACCATCAGCATGTAGACTGATGCTTGACATAGAGTATAAACTCAGTGATTATCAGGCCTGGCCATTCCATTATAGCACAGTATGTATTACTTCTGTAAACTTAAAATCTAGTAAACTTCATGGCACATACAGTGTAAGATGCTCAAGAATACACAAAGAATGACTGGATTAATCTCAAAGACTTAGATGGTGTCCATCAAAGACCTTTAATCAGAACAGCTCCACATCTACTTACCCAACCCTGACTCTAGTTCCAGGCCTTAAATGCTAAAAAAACTAGTTAAGCCAAATCTATCCCCCTCCAATCTTTTCTAATTTCTGTGGCATTTCTTTGTCACTTACATAAAAATTCCTTTCTCTGGGCTCATATCCAATTAGTTATTATTAAGTTATTCTTACTTTTCTTTTATTTCCTATATGTCTTTTTTTGTAATCCTAATGCCACATTTTAGTTTAAATTCTCTTCACTATATAGTTGCAGTGTGGAGGTAGTTTCCCGTCAATTTGTATGCCTTCAGTCTCTTCTTCCTCAAATTTATCCTTCACACAACTCTCAGAGTCAATTTTTCTGCTATGTATCCATCTTTCAAACTGAAATCCTCAAAATAAAAGGTATGCCTGAAAAATACAATCAACTCCTCTGGACAGTTCTGATATAATGGTTAAAAAAAAAGCCTTCAACTATTCAAAAAAAGTGCTCTGAGGGAATCTTGAGAGACTTTGTTTACATTGGTCAATGCTAATCTACCACCTGGAAATTATTGGAATAGAACAGAAATCAATTAAAAATAACTAACTAAATAAACAGAGTTTAATGAATGATCTTAAACCTGAGAACAAATACCAGGATGAAAGTAGTGTTCTTTAAAGGTTAGTCTGATAATTAGATACATGGAGTTCAGTAGATTACTTGCACAAAAATAGCCAATATTAATTAAGTTATTTTCACTACTGTAAAATTTTACAAGATTTTAATCAACAAGTGTCATCAAGGTAGTCAGTATTAAAATAAGGCAAGCACTATGTTTAAGTACACACAGCATTTAACTGGTAGACACAATTTGACTTAAAAAAACCCAAGAAAGGCCTGAATTTTGGCAAATTAAAGTTTGCTTTGAAGATAGAAAAAGATAAGTTGGAAAAGTATTTTAAAAATAAGTTACAAGGCCTAGGGATTTAGCTCAAGTGGCACTGCACCTGCCTTGCAAGCCCAAGGACCTGAGTTGGATCCCTGGCATTAAAAAAAAAAAAAAAAAAAAAAAAGTTAGAGCCATAATCTCCAAAACATTTTCACAGCTTACATTATCACTGAGCATTGTAAACCTTCTTTCACTAATATATACAATTTTTAAAATTGTATATGTACCATCTATCTGAATACTCAACAATAAAAGTCCTTAATATATTTAGACAAAATTATGATTTTTAATATTTTCCTCTCACAGTCAATAGATAAATCTGATTCTAAAATAGTTATTGCTGGAGTTGGAGGCATGTGGCTATAATTTTCACTACACAGGAAGTAAAAGCAGGAGGATCAAAAGTTTTAAGCCAGCCTGGGGCAACTTGGCAAGATCTTGTCTCAAAATAAAAGAGCTGGGAACACAGTTCTCTCTGGGTTTGATCCCGAGTACCAATTAAGTGACCAATCAATCATCATCACTGTGCATTTAAATGTACTGTGCACTTAGTTAAATTTTAGTGGGTACTATAGTCAAAGATTGGTATTTCATTTACTTAAAATTTTTTTTACTAGTATATGTTCATAATACATAATAATTACATTCATCTTGGGGAACTGGTACACATACATCTTGCATCTTGATCATTCATGAAAAGACTGAGTGACTGAATAAGAATTTCCAAATGCAGTTTTGATATGATAATGTACAAACAGTGGCTGGAGAGAATGACTTTAGTGCTTAGGTTTTCTATTATTAAAATAAATATATTTCGGTATTGAATTTCATTTGGCTGTTGGATTTTTCTAGTTAAGATAAACTGTACATTTTCAAATTACTACAAATGGAAGCTACTGCACCTGATATTCAGCTGTACCTTAACGTAGATTTACCTTGGCTGAAAATGCCAAGAATTCTTTCTAAGTTCTTTTATTTTTCTTAAGAATAACTTAAAATTCTTCTAAAAAATAATACTTTCAAGATAAATTCAAAATCTAATGAAAATTTCAGTAAAAAGTTTCTCATCTTACCCTGTCTAGTTCCAGTGTAAACTTCTGGTCCCATGACTGATTGGAAATAGGTTTCCAGCTAGTTTGACCAACCACAGTATTGTCTAGCTTCAAAACAGCACAGACATCATCTGTAATTAAATTTATAAACTTGCTTAAAAATACAAAGAACACTATTAGCAATAAAAATCTCAAGTCTTTGAAAATAAAGTTTTTCATAACAATATTGAAGCTTTTCAATCTTGAATAGACATATATATAAACCCATTAGAACCTCCCAAATAATCCTTTGATAAAAACACAAATAGTAACTATTTCATATACAAAATATGAATAAAAGAAATAACAGTGACTACTAATTTGCCACAATGTATGTTTTGTGTATCAGTATCAATCATTTAGTTTTCCTCTATCTGTATGTTATTTATCAAACTTGTTGCCTCACAATTTATTACCAAATGCTTAAATTATTTGCATTTTACTTTCTCTGGCCCCTATCAAAGTGGACTACTGGACTGCCATCCCAGCATACATCTGGCCCAGTACATAATTACCAAAATTTCAATATTAGTTTGAAAGTCTCACTAAACCATTACAAGAATCAAATTGTACTTCTACAAGAATCAAGAGTCTCACAGTCTGAGAATCTTCAGCCTGGTATAAAGAATGATACTCAGAAGCTGGGCGTGGTGGCGCACACCTTTAATCCCAGCACTTGGGAGGCTGAGGCAGGAGGATCGTTGTGAGTTCGAGACCAGCCTGAGATACATCGTGAGTTCCAGGTCAGTCTCAACTATATAGTGAGACCCTGACTCAAAAAAACCAAAACCAAAACCAAACAAAACAAAAAAAGAATGATAAAAATAATTTTTCATTCTTTTATATCAATGAAGTAAAATCTGTTGTCTTTTTGTTTTCTATCAATAAAAGGTATAAACATTTTCAAATTACATTACAGAAATTATAATTTAAAAGGTTTTGTCCCACATAGACATTTTTCATTCTTTGTCCCCAGTGATAAATTCCCCTTAATTTGTTACATGATCTTAGAAAGTCTGGTTACTGAACTGGACAGGTCATCGGTTTTTAGAAGATTTCGACTACTTCCACTTTTACTTTTACTCGTTCTGCTCATGAAAGATGATCGGGTTTCACTTGGACTCCAGCCAGGTAGTGCAACTGATGCTGCCTTTGACCGTCCAGGGACATTCTCTAGGATATCTTGACAGCCCATAAGACGAACTTCCAAAGTACCTGTTAGCATAAATATATACCAAAGAAGAAAAGCAAGTCTTAATATATAATATATAGAACCACGTCTCTGCTATCTATTTAAAAATAGAAAAACAAAACTTGCTAAAATAACAAAACCTTTTCTCCTAGAGGATTGTGAAGCAATTATAAACTTTCCCATTTTACTCTGAAAACCTTTCAGAAAACTTTAAGAAATTTTATAGAAAATAGCACATCCCAAAGCTGCCTGTAGGGCATAAAAATAAGTTACATAAACTTCTTGTGTGGCTAAATGCTCATTTCTATAACTAATGCAAGAATTGTAGAATTATATGGATAGAGTGCACAGGGGGTAACATAAAGCTAAATAATACACTAAAATACACTACAGTAATTAGAAAAAAGGAAATCTGAATAACTGCTGTGCTTCATACTTACGTAGTTACCACAGAAAAAGACTTCATAGGTTTTTTTTTTTACATAAATAGTTCCTGTTCTATTTGAGATGTAAAATTACCACATTATCTTTCCATTATGACAAGGTGAAATAATTATAGATTGCAACCAAGCATGAAATAACTGTACTCTTCTCAGGGAAATAAACACTGTAGTTTTTTTTTTTTTTTTTTTTTTTTTAGCGATCCAACTTGGGACCTTGCACATTTGAGGCAGGCAGTAGAACCACTGAGCTAAATCCCCAGCCCCAGGCAAATAAATACTAAAGGTGTTCAAATTAAAAATCAGGAACTATGACTTAGGCCATCTGGAGACATTTTTGATACCATTTGGGCTAAACTTAGCATACTACAATTAAAAATGGTGTGGTATTAAAATTTTAGCTATTGCAAATGACAACATTTAGGAGGAGTATTTCCTAGTAAAGTTGTCCTATTAAATATAAATAATTAAAATAATTTTCCTATAGCTATTAATTGAAAAATAACTGAAAGACTTAAATTTCCAAGAAAGAAGTAGTAACAAAGTTTCTCAACTAAAGAACTAAAAACATCAGACAAAACGTATTTTTAAAAATGTTGAAGAGATTAAAAGACAAGCAATGCAGAACAGTGGTCTCTGAGAGACAGGAAACACATGAGAGGTGCCTGAGACTGCTCTAGCTTATTGTCATTAGGAGTTTCAAGACATAGTACAGGGAGGAGAGCTTAGGCAGAATAAAGGTCAGAAATAAGAGCAAACAAGACAGCTAAGAGTCCATAGGGTCAAGCAAAGAGTTGTCGAGAGACAGAACTCTGGTATCTTCAGATTTCTCCCATAACATCTTCATCAAACTATTAGTCAGCACTTGCTTGTAAAGAAACTATCTGAGACAAGAAAACCACCTGAAAAGATAAAAAAGAATAAAATATACACAGGTAGGAACGGTATCTGTGTCCACCAAACAGGACTGAAAAATCTCAATTCATGCGGCACTGGAAGGAATGAAGAACCTTGCTCTAGCAGTAAAACACAATCACCCTTAGTGATACCACTGTTCCATGTAACTAATCTTATAAGCAATATTCAAAAGATCAAGTTATATCTAAGTAGATGTATCCTAGAAAAAGCTTAAGAGTATTTACAGGAGTATACAATATCAGGCATATTTTTTCTACTGTTGTATTACGCACTAATACAAATGTAGTGGCCTCATACATATGTTAAGAATTTTTTTTTTTAATTTTTAGTACTGGGACAGAACTAGAAAAAAGAATCCAAAACTCATTTGGAACCGTAAGAGACCTTGAATAGCAAAAGCCATCCTAGGCATCAGACACATGGCAGCGGGTATAACAATTCCCAATTTGAAACTGTACTACAAAGCCACTGTGATAAGCACAGCATGGCACTGGCAAAGAAACAGACCTGAAGATCAGTGGAACAGACTGAAAGACACAAAAACAACTCCAGATGCACTCAGCTACGTCATCTTTGACAAAGGAGCTGACCATCCCCACTGGAGGAAAGATAGCCTCTTTAATAAATGGTGTTGGAAAAACTGGATCTCTACCTGCCAAAGACTAAAACTAGACCCTTATTGTTCACCATGCACTAAATTAAAATCCAAGTGGATTAAAGATCTAAATATTAAAACAGAAACACTAAACTTGCTGGAAGATAAGTAAGGCAGAACTCTTGAAGACATTGGCATAAGAAAAGACTTTATGAACAAATCCTCAGTAGCACAGGAACTAGAACAAAGAATCAAAAACTGGGATCTCATCTTATTAAAAAGCTTCTGCACTGCAAAAGAAATCATCAACAGAACTAAGAGACAACCTACAATGTTGGAAAAAGTTTTTACCAGCTGTTCCTCAGCAAAAGCACTATTATCTAGAATATATAAAGAACTCCAACCAAACAATCAGCCCCCTCAAATATAAGGACCCAATTCAAAAATAGGCATCCGAAATGAACATACATTTCTCAGACAAAGTAGTCAAAGCACAAGTAAATATATGAAAACATGTTCCACATCAATGGTCATTCGAGAGATGCAGATAAAAACAACACTGAGATTCTACCTCACCCCACAAAGAATGGCTGCTATCTATCAAGAAATCAACCAATAACAAATGTTGGTGGGGTTGTGGGGAGAAAGGAACCCTTTTCCATTGTTGGTGGGAGTGAAGACTGGTGAAACCACTATGGAAATCAATATGGAGATACCTCAAAGAGCTAGGACTAGAGGTTCCATTTGACCCAGCCATCCCTCTGCTAGGTATCTTTCCAAAAGAATTAAAAGAACCATATCACAGTGATATATATGCACTTATGTTTATAGTGGCACAGTTTGTGATAGCTAAAACTTGGAAACAGCCCATTTGCCCATCAGCTGGAAACTAGATAAAGAAGATGTGGTTCTTCTATAAATGGAATACTACTCAGCCATAAAGAATGAGAAACTAGATTCACTCATAGGAAAATGGATACATATTGAGGATATACTCCTAAGTGAAATAATTAAGTCACACATGTGTAAATACTGAATAGTGAACAAACTATAATAGTACATAAGATCCTAATGAGATAATTGAAAATGTGAAATAGGCAGAAAGGGCTAAAGGAGTAGGGAAAGTGGGAAGGGTAGGAGAAAGGTAATAAGGGAAAGAAAAAAATAGGAGAAAATGAAAAAATGGAAATAAAATGTTTGTAAAGGGGGAGGAGAGGAGGGGGTGAAGGGAGGGCAGGGACAAGGGGAAAAAACGAGAACCAAGACCTGTCATGTAAAGGTGCAAGATCCCGATGAATGTAACTATACCGTATACCTAAAATGTATCAATAAACTCAATGAGAATAAAAATTTTTTAGTACTGGGGATTGAACTCAGGGCCTTGTGCTTGCAAGGCAGGCAGTGGAACCACTGAGCTAAATTCCCAGCCCCAGATGTTAGTATTTAGAGAAAAGGATATTTATGGGCTGGGGATTTAGCCCAGTGGCATCACACCTGCCTCTCAATTGCAACAGTCCTGAGTTTGATCCTCGGTACCCAAAAAACACTGAACAAACCAAAAAAGGATATTCAAACGCCCATTATAACAATATTCCATTTGTTCAAAAGTTGAACAGACATGGAAAAAAAAAAAAGGACTCAAACCAAATATCCAGAGATAAAAAAGACAACATCTGAGATTTCTGTTTCTGTGGTATGGAGATTAAACCTAGGGCCTTCTCACTGAACTACGGTCCCTGTCCTTTTTTATTTGGAGACAAGATCTTGCTAAGTGGCTATGGCGCCCAGTCTAGCAATGAACTTGCATTCCTCCTGTTTCAGCTTCCCAGAGTGCTGGGATTACAGGTGTATACTATTAGGCTGTAATTAAAACAAAAATAACAATAATACAGTGAATGGGTTGGTGACAGGTTAAATGTTGCAAAAGAAAAAGTGAGGTTGAAAGAACAACAATAAGAATGATAAAAAAACCAGATTGAGATTAAAAAAGACTAATGCACATGTGAATATAACTCCAAGTAGCCCGTATATGTGTAACGGAAGTTCCTGATGAAAAGCAGACAATAAGGCCCAAATATATATGACTTAAGAATTCTTCAAATTTGGTGAAAACTACAGTTCAAATCCAACAAATAGAAGTAAAACACAAAAGCCAGTAATAATTCAATTTCTTAAAACCAGTGATAAACAGAAAACATTAAAAGCACAAGAAAAAAGCACTTATTCACAAAGAAACAGAGATAAGGATAGCAACAGATTTCCCATTGGAAACAATGGAAGCAAGACTACATACTTTAAATATATGTAGTTTATTGTCTATCAATTACACTTTAAGAAAATTGCTCTAAAAAGTGGGTATTTGTGACAATGGTTTACTTACACTTCCTAAAATATAAAAAATGCACACTTAAAATGGGTGATTTCTACGGAATGTAAATTATACCTCAATAAAGATGTTAAAAGTGGGAAGACAGTTTCAACTTCAATCTTTCCCATTTTTTGGTAGGCTGTGAAAATCTTACTGTAAAGTGATAAAACAGATTAAATATAATGGTATCATTTTTACTTTAGTTGAAAAGAAACAACTCGTTATGTTTTTGTTTTATTTGCCTTTCTTGTTGACAGTAAACTAGCAACTTGCTTACTTCCACACTAAATGCTCAGCTGTAAAAGTCATCCTGGGGAAACTGAAAACATCTGGCTACTACTTCAAACATTGGTATCTTATTAAATATTTCAGTAATTTCAATATATCAGAACATGACAATGCTTACCACCTGTTTTCATTTAGAAAAAAAAATCTGGAGGGAGTTAAAATCTTTATTAAACATCTAGAAGTTTCTTTCTTTTATAAGGTGACATAATTGCAACTGCATATAACCACATTAGAAACAGCTTTATACTACATTCTTTACTTTCATAACCCACAATATGAAATTTTTAAAACAAGAAAATCTGGGAAGTAAATGTTTGTATTCATAAGCTGCAGCTATGAATTATATTAGAACAAGTAAATGCTTTTTATTTATTTCAATTGTCTGGAAAAAACTATTTTAATAGCTATTGTACT